CTACTAATTATTGTAACTAATTGTTTCTAAAAATACTTTGTTTTCTGAATTGCAACACTAGTTTCAAACCTAGTAATCTAATTAATCAAAACTTTTAAGAAGTAATTCGTTAAATTAATCAAAAAAACCTCTATGGCATATTTAAAAATTATTTTTATAATATTAAAATAGTAAGTACATTTGTAATTACATATTACTAATGCTGAATAATTAATTTCAGCCTGAGGTTAGATGTGTTACTTATTGACTATATGTGGTCGGTTGTACTCATACTATACTTCTGCACCTTGCGTGCAGATCTTGGAAATGATGATGCTGCGTATGGTGGAAGCTGACATTGAAGATGTACTTGTTGTCCAGACATAGTTACCACTTGTCCTTGGTAGTTTTAGATTTGTATTCTATTTATGTATATTCCAAACAATTGTTGTATTTATTTTTATACCCATTTTGTAAATCTAAGTCTTAGAGACTCATGACTTATACTACCAATCCTTGTGTCATTGTATAAAAATTTAGTTATTTTCCTATTGATTCATATTATTCTCATTTGAGTTGTGTTGACTGTTATATGGCTTGCCTAGTGGGTTGGGTTAAGTGCCATTAGGACTAGGTGGATTTTGGGTCGTGACAAAGCATTAATTTTGAGAATAGAGTTCCTTTTGAAGTAATGACGTTATAGTTATGTTCTTTTTAGATCATGCCAAAAGAAAGAAAGAGTGAGCCTTAACATACCTTATACCGAATCCTTATATATTCACTCGAGCTTAGCCTCATTTACTCTGAATCTACAATAAACAATAAGGACATCAACGTTACCATAGTGAACTTAATAAATTTTATCGAGCGACAAATTCATTCTATAAGAAATCGGACAGCATCCCCCCTTAATTTCTTCTCTCCACCAAGTCTAAACAACAAGAACACACACAAAAACTTACAATATATTCTCAGCACCATACCAAGCTCAAACAATCAACAAAAATATACCTATGATTTTCAGAAAAGTGGGCAGCACCTATATCGTTTCCTTCCAATTCAAACCAATACAAAAAACAACAAGAACAACATAAACAATAACATATCCAAGCTACTACATCAAGAACCAGCTGAAACCTAACTCAAAAATCCAAAAATAGTCCCATACGCAATACAGCTCAAACATACTTCCAACTTCAAGTTTAACATGTTTGCCTTCAACATCTAAGCTTGCTATGGCCTAAAAACGAATCAACCCAAGTAGAGGAGTGAAGTACATACCTTATAGCACACAAATTTGAACTCTCAAGGTGTAAGAAGCCATTACCAAAATGAAATGCACAGACTTAGTAATCTGTCCACAATGACCCAAATAACATCAAATGTTCTCAAGGTCCGCGGAAATCCAACCTCCAAAACCTATAATGCTGCTTAAAACCATGATAAATCCCCAAACCACTCGAATGAATAGAATACCTCCTGCTATGAGTCTCATTAGAGATCAACTACCTCAATCCATAAATAATATGAACACAAATCTACTCGAAAGTTGTAGTATACGATCATAACTAAGGACCAGCTCCTTAGCACCATTCTGCAACACTGCGTCCCTAAGGACAAGCAAAAGAGTATCATCATACTGACGAGCTCTGTTGCGTTCAAATAAGAATGACCATGCAACCACACTAGCAAGAACTCTTCTAGAACCCGAAATATCCAATCTCATAATTCTATAAGCCAAAGCCCGAACATCCATAGCCAAGTGCCTCCCCTACGCTAGAACAAATGCCGAAATCCAAAATCATGAAAGTAATAATCCTTCTCATGCCAACAGTCGAGACACACAAACAATCACCCTACAATTATTCACTCACAATGCACGCAACCATCGCGTGAAACATCAGAATACACTGTGTAAGACCCTGTAACTATGGGCAATACCAACACCCGAGTTACAATAGATAAAAACTTCTCCACAAAGCGATAATAGTAATTTGCCCTCATATCATAGGGGAAAAATATTTCGCGCTACCGCTGTTGAATCACCACACTCATCGGTGTCCAACCAATATCGAGTACTCAACATCGAGTACGAATGAATAGGAAGAACTAAAGATATAGGCCTCTAGCCAAAATAAAGTCTCGCGATGAGGAATCAAGAAGGTGAAAATTCCTAAAGCCCTATAGTCTCTCGTGGATAGATAATGACGTCTCTGCATCGATCCACAAAACTCTACTAGGCTTGCTCGTGATTAGTGAGAACCTTAGAACCTAGAGCTCTGATACCAACTTGTCACGATACAAACCCCCACCAAAGGCTGTGATGGCACCTAACCCGCTTGCTAGGCAAGCCAACACACAACAACAATAATAGAATCCAATTATTAAGCCATTTAACTATTTCATCATATAAATAACAATGCGGAATAAATCTCAATTCAATATTGTGAATACATAATCAATGACAAGGTCTAAATACGACCACAATCGTATAAAATAACAAAAACCTAGTGTAACTATATCACGAGCATCCAATAAAAGTAACTAGAGTCAACTGAATAAGTACATCTTTAAGGAAGAATACATGAACACAAAATAGATATGTAGGGAAGGGAGATTCCATGTGTTGCGGATCGGATCAAGTACAACAGCTCACCATGAAGTCTCCAATAATGCTCCTATTCAGTTCGAAGGGTACCATTAATACTAGTCTTAGAACCTGTACAAAAATATACAGAAATATAGTATGAGTACAAAACCACAGTACCCTATAAGTATCAAGTCTAGCCTCGAAAAAGTAGTGCGGGAGATGAATCTGACACCTACTGACAACTCAATAAGCATTTGAAGCATAAGTAGAGCATGAAATAAAGCATGATATTATCTATCAGGTTTGTCAATAGAACCATACTAGAACCGGAATTTAGAAATGTTTTTCAGTCAAGGAGATAAAATACAACATCAAACATCTAAGTTCTTTCCATAATCATGATTCAAATCAATCAGCATTCTCATATAATATAAGAGTCACTACATGAGTCTAAACTACCAATGCATGCTCAAACAAGGGGGATATCACAATATCAGTCATCTCAATCATTAATAATCACAATATGAGTCAGTCAACAGTCATATAAATATGCGCAAGAGACATTGCACGAGTCAAGGCTTCCAGTTCATTCTCACAATCCAATACCCAATCTCACAACACAAACTCGTGTACATATACATATCCGACCCAGGCCAAGTTTCCAAACAAACACCAATATCAGTGCTTACTCTCACAGGGCCCAAGGCAACATAGGTAATCATCTGACTTCAAAGGGATGGTACCAATCCGAGCTCCATGTTAGCATGCCGCCCGATCAACATATAATATCGTTGCTGCATGCAAACGGATCCACAAATATTTTTGTGGTGTTGTGCCACCCGATCCACACATATACCTGTGGTGGCGACCCGATCCATACATATACCCATGGCGGCATGCCACCCGATCCACACAACATCATATACAAGGATATATAAGAGTCTTACTTTCATCCGACAAGCTTTAATCAACAATAACCGTGATTCCTTTGAAATTCAACTCCAAACGACTCAAATCTAGTCAAGTACAACTCAATAACGTCAAACAAACCCATAGGAATCCATTTCTAACAAAAAAGCTTCAATCATTACTAAATCCCCAAAAGTAAAAAAAAGTCAACTCGAGCCCACATGTTCAAAACCCAAGTCAAGGAGTAGATCCCGACTAACTATAACCCCATGAGTCCAAACATGTGATAAGATTCTAATATCAGCTCCAAATTGACCCCCATATCCCCAAATTACACCCTCTTAACTTATATATAAAAATCTCAAAATATTACTTTAAGATTCCAAGTTTTAGGTGTAGAAATCCATGGGAATCAAGATATATAGCCAAATCCAAATGAAAATTACTTATCACTAATGTAGTAGTGAAATTGCTCTTTAAAATCTCCTCATCTCAAAGTCTTGGGTTCAAAATATGAAATAATGGGCAAAGTTATTGGACAACTTAAATCCCTGCCTGATAATACTCTTCGCGATTGCTGCCTAACCCATGCGATTGCGATGCACAAATAAGTGCTGCCTCAGAACCTTCTATGAGAACGCTGCATAGACCATGCTGTTGACGACTAATTTTGACTCTCCCATTTTCTAATTAAACTTCTTACGCTTGTTGATCAACAATGATTTAATAAGGTGTTTTTAAAAGTATTATTTTGATTATCTATTTTTCTAGAAATATAAATAATATAATAAGTAAAATATAGTATTAATAATAGTTATTAATATTAATTATATTCCTGTAATTATATATTAATAATTTGATCTTAAATAATTACAATTATACTACCTTTATTATTGTAATTAATAAAAATTGGCTTTTATAATTTTAATGTACGAGTATTTTAATTATTTTGTTTATCTAATTATCTCGATAATATAAAGTTAGCTGACAATAATTAATTTATAATATATTTGTTAATTATAATTTGTTATATTTTATTGAGATTAAATAAGTTTAGTTAGTTTAATTATAAAAGGAGGCTTAAGATTTAAAACATGCTACAATTGCAATTGGTGGATTTTGATTGAAATGGCCAAAAGATTAATTTTATTTTCAGCCTACTTCTTCCAATACCCAATCCACTCGGCCTAAACACCAGCCCAAAACATACCTAACCTGTCCAAGCCCACACTTCCCTCTCCTACTTGGCAATCCATGCCATCTCCTCTCCACCAATCCTATTCTGCCACATCATCACTCCAAAACCCCTCACAAAACAACCACAACGCATCAAGACCTTTGATAGAATTCATCAATAGGCCAGATTAATCACAATTTCCCCTTTTAACTATAATTCCTCCATGCTTTTATCTGATCCAACTTGGATCACAATGATCCAACGGCCCTTGTTTTATCTTCAAATGTCATTTTTATTTTATATTTTAGACTAATATTCTGAGCTGTTGATCTGGTTATCCAACGGCCCATATCCATCCCTTCACTTTTAGCCCACCAGACCGCTCCTAACCCTAATAATTTCTCCTTATGCCAGCCACCCCCATTTTCCCTTCCTCTTACTTTTCTCTCATCCTCTCCAATTTCTGTCATCCATGAACCTTACACAAATGTGTGCAAGAGCACTGGAAAACAACTATAAGACAACCACTCTCCCTGATAAGCCGAGAATCTAGCCGAATACTTCCCATTTCCATCATTCATTTACAAATCTCAACTCCTGAAACCCTACACCCAAACATGAAAGACAAAGAATCTCATCATCATACCCTTCATCACCGCATTCATTCGTTCAAATCTCCATTAAGGCATCACATGCATCCATAGATTCGAAAGAATCTTGACCTCATCGTGACGGTTGATAGCCCACAGGTCAAATGCAGGGACCTCTAGGTAAATGCTTTGTTTGGAGGTCCATTGGCTTCAAACGGCTAGTCCGGTAGTCACCTCTGAATTGGTAAAATCTTTAGTCTATTTTCCCTTCTAATTTCTTATTTTTACTTTGATTTCGTCATAAGATGTCTCATCAGTGTTCATTGATATTCAGTGTCTTCTACTAATTTTGAATCTTAAACTCAAAACCCTAAAGCCCCAATCTTGGCTCTATATATCATGCTTTAATTCTCTCACCAACACACACAACTACAATCGAATAATAGTAAATGCACTACAATTGAATTCCCTTTAAGTCTTAAGTAGACTTGTCTGAGTTCTTTTTTTTCTTTTTCGTATTATGTTCGAGCTTAATCGTTTGGAGTTGGTTGCACAGGTTCTTAATGGTATGGAGTAATTACCTGATTTGCTTCCCCTAGAAAGGTCAGTAAACCTCTGATTTTGTTTTAATAAGTCTGAATTGCTTGTAGCTTTTCTCATATTATTTCTACTTAGCTATTTGATATTTCTTTATTAACAATGTTTCTGCTCTCTCTTATGATATTATGTTAACCAATATATATCTTTCATTGACATTTGTGTTTTGCTGCTCATGTTGTTTTCTCCTTAGCTAATCGGCATTCACTATTAACAATTGTGTTTGTCTCTTATGTTGTTCTGCTTAGCCAACAAATATTTCTTGGTGACAGTTGAATCTTGTTTCCCATGTTTATTTCTGCTTAGCTACTGGTTCTTTGTTGTTAGTCGTTTAGGTTCTTACAATGTCTTGCTTAGTTACTTGATAGCATTGTGTGTCTTATTAGGTTAGCATTCTTAGTAAATTGAAGTCTTGTAGGCAGTGATCCTTGTACATCATGTTATGTTGATATTAACATATAGTATGTGATAAGATTTAAGCACTTGTTTTAACATGTTCCATTTATGGTTTAGAGGTAATCATACTTTCATTAAGTTAAATGTCTGTTAACTTGCAACCACACATGCTAATATTTTATCCTACTTACTATTTATGGTTATGAAGACTATATCTAGAATACCTTAATTGACTTGAGGCAATACTACCTAGCCTATTGGTTGAGTACTTTTGATCTAGGCTGCTTGATGATTCAACTAAATGCTTTTTCCTTCACTACAAACTATTATAGATTCCATGCCTATAGGGTTCAATTTGGGACTAAGTCTAACTACTTTATCATGTTGAATCGTTCTTGTTGTCACCTATGTTAGTGCGATTTCTTGTGAGGTTAATTCTACTGTCTAAATGTTTAGCTTAGGTTACTTCATATGCAATGAAGTGGATGATCTCTCAACTATATACCTATTTACTGTGTGGGACTATTTGAGTTTGGTCTGGTGTCATATGGTTTTGTTTTGATGATCTAAACCTGTTTAAAAAAACCATGGCTAATCATATTCTTGTGAGGTATTAGACCCTTGACCCTGAGGATAAGTATGTGTTTGGATAAAAGCTTCCTGTCAACTTTATTGACAAATTAGATAAGTGTTTTGATTGACATTGAACAATTTAAAGTGTCTTTTATGTGGTAAATGTACTTATGAGAATAACTGACTATCAGCCTTCATTTTGTGACTTGCTTCTGATCTTGTTTGGCTAAAATAGTGAGTCCTAGGAAGATCATGAAAATGCCATGATATGTAAAGTAATTCTGAGTTTATTCTGAAGCTTTTTGAAGTCTTTTAACATCCCTAAGGTCCTGTGTGATGATATATCTTTCCATCATGTACTTTAACAATGATCATTTACTAAGGATACTTTGGATTTGAAGCATGTGCTAATGCTCTAATCCTTCAATGATTCTTTGTCTAACTGACTGTGATATAAATTTAATTGATTGGGAATATTTGTGATCTACTTAGTTCATAAGCTTGCCATGTTCACGGGGGCTTAAGGCCTTCTGTGTTGAAAGAAATGTTTTGTGTTTGTGTTTGTTTGATGTTCTGAATATTCTGTTTTCTCAAGGTATTGGGATCTTGGTTTGTGTTTAAACCTCTATGGAAGAACAAGGCTCAATGACTAAAAGTTTATGTTGTGAACCTAATTCTACCACCAGGGGGGTCCTCCCTAACACAAGCACTGCTCGGGGTCCACGAGGCCCTTGTGAACTCTCAAGTGTATGAGGTTTATAGGGCAATCTTGTAAGTAGATTTGGTTCACTCTAGCTAGTAGTAGTTGACCTTGACTAATATCTACGGGGTTGTCACAAACAAAAATAGATTTATTTATGTCATTTCAGACCATAATTATGTTCATGATATGTTTTATTATTGTTTCCTACATATTGTACTAAAAGAATTGGCTTTTCTTCTTTTGCATGAACCATTGGGCCTGTGCAGTTCACGGTGAACTCTGGCCATAGCAACTAAGCTGGACCCTCTCCTTCATTTGCAGTCACTATTCGCTGAAGCCCGTTGTTGCTTAAAATTTAAATTGGATCTGACCTGTTGTCAGCCCAACACAGAGTCCAGCCCCTTCCCTTACTTTATTTCAATGCTGCTATAAGCCCATTCATGTTTATATGTTGTATTTGTGGAACTAACACTAATATCATATGATTTTTTATTTATTGTGATTGTTTAGAAAAAATCATAGGGTAATTAAATCTCATAGAATAAAGGGTACCATAGCTTAGATAACTCATTACTTCAAAAGCTAATGACTTTTAAAATCTGAATATATCCCAACTGTTTTGGTTCATCAGTTAGACTCTTTTTCTTCACTTGATTTTCCTAACAAGTTTCATCTATTTTTCTTTAAGGCGTTTGCAGAGTCCAATGGGTTCAAGCGAAAAGGGATTTTTGAAAAAGACTCCAAATGAATCACTTAGGAAATATTCGATGGTAAATTATTTTGGAAAGGATAGCAATTTTACAATGCAAGTCAAACCCAGATTTCACAAAGATGGATAGTCACTTTGAAAAATCAAAATAACTCATATCAAATAAGTTCAAAAACGGTCAAGGTAAAACTCATTTTCACATTTTTTTTGGATGACGAAAGGATTGAACATCAACAGAAACTTGCATCTTTGAAACAAGTCCTCATTTTTCAAATAAACCGCACAACATTATTTTAAACCAAACATTTTCTTTTGATAAGATCATGGACCCATTTTTGAACAAATACTTCATCATTTTAGGTAAATTTTCACATAGACCCGCTTAATGACTTTTAAATTAACTAGGATGTAAATCATTCTTTTTCCCGTATTTAGCCTATGTTTAAGGAACTACTTAACGTAGATTTTAAGGGATGCCTAACACCTTCCCCTTAGAATAACTAGAACCCTTACCCGGATTCTCACTGGTATAGCGGACCATTAAGATAATAATCTTTATAGACTTATAGGTATCCTAATATACCTTTAAATATTAGGTGACGACTCTTCTTTTATCAACTTCAGGGAAACAACAAGTTGTATTTTGTTTTGACCTGTGCAAAATAGGGTGCAACAACATGGCGACTTTGCTGGAGATTATACACTTAGGTTCTAGCCTTAGCAGACTTAGGCTAGATTTTAAAATTTGTGGATTATATTCTATTTGCTTGAACTTCACTATATGTTTACATGACTTCATAATTTGCAATTATGTGTTTACTTGCTTTATTCCTGATGTTATCACTGATTTATCACAATTACTTGTTACTGCTTTTATAGATTGTCATCACATTTTACTATCGAGTCATGGACGTACACAATCACACGCGAATCATGCGAGGGTTGTCTTTTCACCCCTCCAAACATTCTTTATAAACCTCTCTAGTTTTAGAGAACGACATTGTAAGGTTAACTAACATGTCATCTCGCAGTTAATCAGTCCAACTCCAAAGTTTTGGAAACACTCTACTCTTAGTAAATATAGGTCATGATGCATACACCCTAGGTGAGTCGATCCTTGGCATTGACTCACAAGTAGGAAAGCTGCCCAAATGTCAACGAGTCATGCACCTAACGACATGACTTCTGTTAAATGACAAATCAATCCAGATTAAGACACCAGGGATTTAGAGCAAAACAGTTACCTAGCCTTTTCTCCCCTCTTAGTTGGAAATAACCACAACATATCTTAAATTAGTATAGTCATGAGAGCTCCCCATAAGGTGAAATAGTGATGGAGAAGCATCCAGCGAGCACACGGAGATAGAATTAGGACACATCTTGGAGCACTGACTAAGTTGATGAACGTCTAAGCCGATAGAGTGCTTACCAGGTTGTTGATAGAATTATGGGATCCAGCTAAAGCGATTTTCAAGCTTGTCAATTATGAGCTAACACTAATGCTCGAGGATGTTACAAGCTTACTAAGTTGCCATTCGCTGGACGAAAGCCCATATTGTTGGTCATCATGTCGGGTCATAGGTTTCTCTATGTATTGGGATTGAAGAGCAACATGAACCTAAGAAATGTCGAAGATGGGTGGATAAGCCGACATTTAGAAAGCTATGATCTACATCATGAAGAATATCAGTGTTTTAGTCTATAATCTCATTTTATGTGATGACCCAAAATATCATCTTTAAATTTAATAAGTAATTCTGTATTCTAAGACCTCAAAAAGCACCATTTATTATTCCTCGACTTGTGTGCATAGTCCGTATAATTTTCTGGAAAGTTTTTATGTGAAAAACGGATTAAAATATGAAATAGAGTTTTAAAACTCAACTGAGTTGACTTTGGTCAACATTTTAAGCAAACTGATCCGGATCACTATTTTGACAATTCCGGTAGGTCCGTATCATAATTTGGGACTTGGGTGTATGCCCGGAATTGAATTCTGAGGTCCCTAGCCCGAGATATGGAATTTTAATAAAAAATTAAAAGATAAAAGCTTAAAGATTTTTAAGAAGTTACTGATGTTGGATTTATTGACACCGGGTCCGTATTTTGGTTCCAGAGCCCAGTATAAGTCCCCTATAATATTTATGACTAGTCTGCCGAATTTGGTGAGAATCAGAGTTGATTTGACGAGATTCAGACGTCTGGTTGAAAATTTCCTTTGATTTGGCGTCTGATTAGTAGTTCTAGGTGTTATTTTGGTGATTTGATCGCGCGAGAAAGTTCGTATGATGTTTTAGGACTTGTATGCATGTTTGGTTTGGAGCCCCGAGGGCTCGGGTGAGTTTCGGATAGGATACGAGATGATTTTGAACTTAGAAAAATCTGGTTTTCTACAACTCCAAGCTTATGGTATTTCCTTCATTGCGTTCGCGAATGTACTCTCGCGAACGCGAAGAGCAAACTGGGCAAGACGAATATTCTCTCTTCGCGAACGCGAAGATTGGGTCGCGAACGCGAAGCTATGGAGACTTTACCCTTCGCAAACGCGACCAGCTCAACGCGAACGCGAAGCTTTAGAGGCCTGGGGGAGGGGTCAGTCGTCCTTCTACGCGAGCGCGAGCACTGGCACGCGAACGCGAAGGCCAGAGGGAAAAAAGCCTTCGTGAATGCGAAAGAGGACTCACGAACATGAAAGCCACGGGTGCTACTCATCGCGAATGCGACCGGCCCTTCGCGAACGCGAAGAAGGCCTGACGCCCGTGACTTAAAATAGAACCAAACCGGAATTTTTTCCATTTTTCACAAACCCTTAATTAGAACTCGGTTTAGGGGCGATTTCAAAGGAGTTTTTCACGATTTCGAACTGGGTTAGTGTTCTTTATCATATAGTGATTGTATTTCATGAATCCATGCCTACATGAATCCTTTATTTCGGATTTAGATGGAAGAAATTTAAATTTTTGCAAAACTTTCCAAAAGCGAGAAATTTAGATTTGAAGGTCCATTTGACATTGGAATTGGATAATTTTTGTATGGTTGGACTCATCTCAGAACGGGTGTTCGGATTTCGTAAGTTTTTTCGAGATTTGAGACATGGGTCCCACTGTCAAATATTTTAATGAATTTTGGATTTTTATCCGGAAAATTAGTAAATTCATATGGAATTAATTCCTATGATTCGTATTGAATAAATCTAAATTTCTCTTTCCAAAAACGAGAAATTTAGATTTGAAGGTCCATTTGACATTGGAATTGGATAATTTTTGTATGGTTGGACTCATCTCAGAACGGGTGTTCGGATTTCGTAAGTTTTTTCGAGATTTGAGACATGGGTCCCACTGTCAAATATTTTAATGAATTTTGGATTTTTATCCGGAAAATTAGTAAATTCATATGGAATTAATTCCTATGATTCGTATTGAATAAATCTAAATTTCTCTTTCCAAAAACGAGAAATTTAGATTTGAAGGTCCATTTGACATTGGAATTGGATAATTTTTGTATGGTTGGACTCATCTCAGAACGGGTGTTCGGATTTCGTAAGTTTTTCCGAGATTTGAGACGTGGGTCCCACTGTCAAATATTTTAATGAATTTTGGATTTTTATCCGAAAAATTAGTAAATTCATATGGAATTAATTCCTATGATTCGTATTGAATATATCAAATTGTTTGTGAATAAATTTGAAGCTTTTAGAGACAAATTTAAAAGGAAAAGCTGTGGTTGAGTAATTGATTGGAATTTGTAAAGCGAGGTAAGTGTCGTGGTTAACCTTGACATGAGGGAATAGAACCCTTAAACTATTTGTTATGTGAAATGCATGTGAACGACGTATAGGTGAGGTGACGAGTGTCTATACGTCGTCAAATTAATTGTTTGCATAATTACTGAAAAAATCATAAATTAATTATTATAATAATTGATTCTCTCTTATTCTTTGTCAAATATTAATTCTTGAATTCCTGCATTAATTGTTACATGCTATTTGAATTATGTGTCTTAATTGTTATTTGACATTTAGTATATTAAATATTAAACTACCTATTTTCTCCCTGATTTCTATAATAATTTGCTATTTGTCATTGTTTGTTTCATAATTTAATCATAATTCTTGTATGATTATTGTCTTATAACTTTATATTAATTGTTGCATTTATTGGGGAAATTTCTTCTATAAGAATTGTTAAATGGATAGATTGGAGGATCGGGTTGTATGCCGCAACAAAATTGATTGAAATGGATATATTGGAGGATCGGGTTACACGCCGCAACAGACTTATTAAAAAGTTCATATTGGATGATCGGGTTGCACGCCGCAACACTTATTAAAAGTCAATACTTGGGGGATAGTATTGCACGCCGCAATAGACTTATTAAAAGTAACTATTTGGGGGATCAGATTGCACGCCGCAATAGACTTATTTAAAAGTCAATATATATACCTGGTTAAAAATATTTATATGAGAGGATTGAAAAAGAATATATTGTGAGAGCGGGTTACACGTTGCACGTTGCAACAGAATTGAATGTGAATATATTGTGAGAGCGGGTTGCACGCTGCAATGAAAATTCATGAAAATGATAATTGGTTATGATTGCTGAGTTGGCTTTAATTATTATAAATGAATTACCTGATTTATTTCTATTATTTTTTGTTATTACTAATATTGCGTACAGGTTAATGTAAGTGACCCGCCTTAGCCTCGTCACTACTTCGTCGAGGTTAGGCTCAGCACTTACCAGTACATGGGGTCGGTTGTACTGATACTACACTCTGCACTTCTTGTGCAGAT